CCTCCCGGCTGCCTCTGGGGAAGAACTCCCTTCTCACCAGTTGCGTGTTCTTGGGAACATCCTGTCTGTGGCTGTGAGGGAGCTGGGTGCATCCAGGCCTCTGGGATGAGCTGACTTCATTCACGGCTCAACACGGGGGCCGGCTGTCCTGTTTCTGGAAGCCTGCCACCTCACCCCCGCCAATCCCCACATGGCATTATAACAAGCCCGACCTGTTTTGGGCTCAGATTTGGGGCAGCCCCAAGCATCTCCTATTTACTCTGCCCTTGGCCCTACAGCCTAAACCCTTGTAAGCAGCGATGGCCCACTGGTCTGAGGTGGAAAGAGGCCCCCTTTGTAGAGGGCAGTGGAGTTTCGAGGAGGCAGCTGCGCCGTGAGATGGGATAGGTCGAGGGAGAAGGCGCTGTGCAGCTCATGGTGAAACCCAGTCTTCAAGTCCCCGTCTTCAATTACTCGTGCTGCGAAATGTGTTTGCTTTGATGAAATTCAAATGCTCTGGTGCAGGGAAAAAGAATTTAAACTTTGGGAGACGATTACTGCTCACCTATAGTCACTTTTTCTCAAAGACACATCACGCTGATTAAACTACATCCCTAAATATGCAGCTGCACGTGGGCAGTGTTGTCTCTGCATGAGCAGATTCTGCTTCTTGAGCAAACAGGGTGCATTTTCAAGGTTAAAGTTGGGGAACTCTGCACAGCTATTTCATTAGCAAAAATCTCCATTTGTGCACCCGGAAATTGGCTGGCTTATGAGGAGTTTGTCTTTCATGCTCTTTCTGGAGTTGTTCAGACACACCCATCTAATGGTAACCCACTGCTCACAAGGTTAAGTTTTCTTTTTGAACTTCTGTTGTTGTCAAATTAATATAATATGCTCTCAATTATCCACATAAAAGGAGAAAGGCAACCAAGCGGGGAAAGAAAATTTGCAATTAATTTACCAAATTATTGCTCTTTTTATATGATGGACAAGTCGCTTTTCTCTTTTGACTCAAGTGTTTTGTATGTCCTGGGGGGAGTGCTAGGGCAGACACAAGGACGAGCCATCCAAGGTGTCCCTGCACCTGAGGCCGGGATGGAGGCTGGTGTCTTCTGGGGTGCAGAGGCCTTGGTGTTGAATCAGGGGTGCACAGAATGTGGGGCTCTTTCTTGTCCAGGAGAGTCCATCTATCTTCTCAGTCCTCTAGGAGCCCATTGCTCACCTAGTTGGCATCTCCCAAGAGCAGACCTGAGATAAGGACCTGGGTGCAGGTCATTTATGTGGGAGGCGATCCAGGGAGGCATGGGGCGAGGGGCCTAACAACAGGGTTGCCACTGCTCAGGGACTGGGCTTTGTCCCCTGGGGGTCCTCTAGGACACTACGTGAAGTTCACCTCAGCAACACCCCTGAGGGCTGAAGAAACTCTGCAGCTCTCAGTCAGTAGCTGAGGGTCACTGCAGCTCACCCAACAGCCAAGCAGTCTTCTCATGGTCAGAGAGAAACAAGAGGCCATTGCGTCCCAGAGAGCCAGAGGGGAAGGGGTGGGGCACTGACAGCATCCACCACAAGTGGGAACACCCTGGTCTGAAGGTTCTTACACCCCGGTTCACTGCAGAAGGCCACCAGTCTTCCAGAGCCCAGCATGAGGGCAGATACACACTCCAAGATGCCTGTGGGAAGTGAACTGCAGATTTTAAATATTGAGACACGCACTCAGCTTAGAACCAGGCTTCCTGGAGGCTGGATGGAGGGCAGTGTATACAGCAGTTGAGCTCCAAGGAGCTTGGACAAGTCCCCTCGGTACCGTCTTGTGTCTCAAATTCTATGCCTTTCAGGATCCCTTGTAGCTTTTACTTTTCAGGTGACCCTCTAGGACCTGGTCAGTCCTAGAGTCCTCATGAGCACTGACTCCTGCAGGGCCCCAGATGTGGGCGCCCAGCTAGTCTTTCCACAAGCACATGAACATGTGGGGTTTCAGTTTGGGCATGGGGCATGTGAATACTTGCTTCATCATCAAGACATTTTTATTAACTCATAAGAAGAGCATCAAGGCATTTCTCTTTTAATTCTGGAAGTCAATCAAACTATTTTTTTTTAAAGAGGGAGTCAGTAAAACTGAATCTTTGGGTTCATAGTAGTGCAAGAAAAACCTGATTATTTGACTTTTCTTCTTTGCCATTTTCCAACCTCTTGTATTCACAACCGAGCTTGAGAAGATAGTATTTTTCATGATGATTAAGGTTTCCTCAAGTGCTTTACAGGTATCAATTTTATAATCTATTGTGTCCCTCTTTGGAAAGTATGTAGTCCCTCTTGGGAGCCCCCCACTCCCACCCAACACTCCAACCCGGTAACAGAGGGAGAGGAATGGAGAGATGAGGGGCCATGCCGTACTCCATGCATGCGGCACAAGGAACAGGTCACATCCTCCTCCATACCTGTGACCTTTCCACTGTTCCAACCTCAGAGTTCCTTTGGCCACTCCAAGTGGCAAGCTGTTGGCTAGCGAGCCCCCCTAGTTTGGGACAGTGTATACTATCTCCAAATTTGAGCCCCTCAAGTC